TTGGATCAACTGAACATTGTGATGGACGCCATCTTATAACATACACCTGTATCTGTTTATCATGCTTCATCTTCTCTGGTCCTAATGAAAATTAATACAATAACCTTAATCAAGTGACTGAAAATGTCATGTAGCAGCATTTATTGGTGAGGGACTAAATTTGGTGAGTTGAAAAATTTCAGGAAAGCACAAAAATTACTTTCATGTGGCAAGGGATAATGAAGTCACCAAAATTTAATCCACAACCCACTAATTTATTCAATTTAACCTTTCATCAAAAAATAAATCTGCTATACAGTTTAAAATGAAAATATTGAGATTATGACCTTTCAATGGTTCCACATAATATGTCTCTATAATAGTATCAATCATCTGATGATCAAGATATACTCTACCAGGGTACACTCCATTCTTGTAACGTAATCTCATTCTACACAATGAGTCACATGATACTCACATGATGTACTTACTTGTCTAATTCAAGGACACAGTCAATTCCTTGTACTTTTGCTTCTTCAATAATTTGTTTCTTAAATTCTCTCACTAGTGTACCCACAGCAACAACAGACTCCATCATAAACTTACAAAACTGAAACATAAAATAAAATATAAAATTATAATAATTATAATATTCTTACTTCTGTACTATTAACTTGTAATAAATATAATTTAATACTGACTCTACCCAGTCTTACTATCAACTAGAAGATAAACAAAGTATTTTTAGTTCATACAACATAATAGTAAAAAGGAGAAGTGAATCAATACTTTTGATCCAGATACGATATCCATTAATGTCTCATCCAGTCTCTCCATTTCATATTCTTCATTATTTCTGATTCCATACACTATAAAACCAGTAGGTGGTACACCAATCAGTGGAACTAGCTCCCTCTTCAATTGAGCTAATGTTATTCTTTTATCAACTTGTACTTGTATCTCTGAATTGAATAACATGATGTTTAAGGTTCCTCACAATAATTATACTCAATATTACTTCTTTTGTCTTCTTCATAATTTATTGATATAATTTTCATTATCATTCCTCCTTTAGGTACATTAGTTGTAGTGAGAGCAGCTTCAGGCTGAGGAGGAGGTAGTGTAATGTCCAATAGTATTGAGTTGAAGTGAAAATCAACATATTTGTACATCAAACTATCTTTGTATTTCTCAAGAAAATCTATAGGATCTGATAATACATATATCTAAGAAGAAAGGAGAGAGCATGTATGTGGCATGTGCATGAACAAAAACAATAAGGAGGAGAAAAATATTAAAATAATGTATGGCATGTTCCTTTTGTTAGGCCAAACTAATTAACCTGATGTATAGAGCATAAAAGCATATACCTTAAGGAGACAATTATTAGCGATTTTCATGATACTGACATTTGGCTGGTATTTAATTTAGCATTTTTGATCATTTAATATTAATAACTACTAGATGAATGTAAAACATTGAAGGGGTGAGCCTAAGCAAGTAAAGCAATGTACATACAATAGATACTGACAGACTAACAATACTCATGACAGTGCAACTTAAGCAGCTCAGAACTTGATTGAGTGCAGTGTAGTTCTTGACCTACCTTTGTAATCAAATCAAGTTTAGCAATTGGAAAGGCAACTGTAGCAATGTAGTCCAAGTTAGTTCAGGCTTAGACTGACATTCAAAGTCATTCACATCAATAAAGATGGCATATCTGCTTTCTTGACATTCCTTGCCATTGGTTTGGACAGTAGTATGCGAGTACAGTAAGTTGAATTATCAGCAAAAACAAGTTTCATAGTTACTTTATTGCATCTATAACCTTTCCTGGCTGTTGGAGAAGCCTTTGGACAAAATTAAATACCCACTAACAATTGCCTCCTTAAGGTACATCATTCATTATGGCTGCATCATAAATCCTTTTCATAAATCAGGCATGCATATGATTGTCCTGAGACTCCTGACTTATTGCATGATTGATAATTACTGTTGCAGTTCCCTGTAGACATACAGACAGAGTGAGTAAATGTCTACAAGCTCACACAAATAATAATTAGCACTCAAAGAATGTAAAACATTATGAGTCTCTGCCCTCTCACCACATTCTGCCACACATACAGACAAACAACTCAAACAGTACTTCACGAGTAAGGGCTTTGCCCAATTAGCACTTACTGTTGGTACTACAAGTTGCTCTCTGTGTAGTTTGTGTGAACTGAATACATCTCCTTTAAAGAGCACTTCCTTTAAAGAACTTTCACCATTTTCTAAATGTATAACATTGTAGGCTGAGAGAGTTCCATCAAGTACCAGTAATCTCATAGATGATGAATTGAGATTAAATGACTAAAAATCAGATTGAGAGGCGGTAGGACAGGAATGATCAATATAAAATGACAGTAGATCCTTCCTCTTACTTCTCCTATATATTGCTTTAATTCTCCAACAGTCCAACCTTCTTCACCTCTCATTGGTTTAGCTGGTCCTATTTCACCAGTTGTCAGATCAACCACTGATATCTCTAGATTAATACCTACACCATCAAACACATGTGCATGTAATTAAAGGAATTGTCATTATATAGGTGCACTATACAATGCCAAAGTACTCAATTATCCAATACCAGGCCTCCGATACCAAGTACTCGATACCAATCCTGCTATATACGTATTGAGCTAATGACCACACCCAATGGTCACACCTTTTTAAAATCACAAAAATGACGGCTCACTTGTTTGATTTTTGTTAATAACTAAATATAACATATTTTGTATGTGCAGTAGCTAACTATTCAGTACTCAATAGCCTCAATGCAATACTCAGGCTACTTGGTATTGGTATCAATCAAAAAATTCTGGTATCACCCACC